TCTATTAATGTGAATGACTATTAAGACTATTAAGTTTCTGAAAGAGCACTTACATTTTTTTGTTGATCACTATCATTCCAAAGTTTAGGGTCAGTATGATTTTTAAAATATTTTTGAAAGAAATCTCTTATGCTCAACCAGGCTGCATTTATTTGATCAAAAATGCAGTAAAACCGTAATATTGTGAAATATTATTCCAAATTAAAATGATTGTGTATCATCATTCCAGTCTTCAGTGTCACATGATCCTTCAGAAATCATTCTATTATACTGAAATGCTGGTTTGATGAAACATTTCTTCTTATTACTGTTGAAAACAGCTATTTTGTGGAAACCTTTGTACATTTTTTCATAATTCTTTTAACAATAGAAAGTTTAAGAGAACAGCATTTATTTGAACTAGAAATCTTTTGTAACATTATAAAAGTCTACTATCGCATTTGATCAATTTAATGTGTGAATTAAAGTATCAATTTCTTTCTTTCTCAAAAATAAATTAATTAATTAAAAAATCTCAGTGACAGTGATTAAAGACATTTATAAAGTCACAAAAGATTTCTGTTTCAAATAAATACCGTTCTTATTACATTTCTATTACTGTTTTTATTTTTCTATTTTACTTTCTATTTTCTATGGAATCCTGAAAAATGTATCACAGTTTTCACAAAAAAATATTAAGCAGCACAAGGATCACGTAACACTAAAGACTGACGTATTGGCTGCTGAATATTCAGCTTTGCCATCACAGGAATAAACTACATTTTAAAATATATAAAAATAGACAGTTATTTAAAATTGTAATAATATTTCACAATGTTCCAATAAAATTATTTACTGTATTTTTAATCATAAAATCATTGGTGATCATAAGAAAAAAAAAAACCTTGTGTGAAATAAACAGAAATGATTAAATATCATTCTTCATTGTATTCACTTAGTGAAAAAGAGTGTGGAAAACATGCCTTGATTATTATAAACAACATTTTTTTTTAGCTATATCATAGATAGATAGAAAAACGCTTTCGAGGATGAGAGCCACAGACAACAAAAGATTGCTTACTAAATTAGAAAGCCAAAACAGAAAATAAATATAGAAAAGAAAGTCTGAGTAGAGCTGAAACCAGAGCAAATGGCGAAGCAGTCAGACGGCGAGACGCTGAACACACGATAACATCTGTTATGAAGCAAAAGGGTTTAAGACAGAGAGCCAAAATGACTTTTCTGCTTTTCAACAGTGTTTTTTACCTGTCCTGATGAGTCAACAGACTGTAATGAGTTTGTAAATTGACGGTCCGTTCAGTCCTAAATTAAGCTGCAGTACGTGACTGACAGCAGGTGGAATGTGGAGCTCTGGCTGCTGCAGGTCTGGACATAAAGAGCTGTGACACTGATCGAATACCACCATTTATGAGAAACACGGCCATTATTTCCCCTCCAGCTGATTCCTATCGAATATATACTGTACATATGATCTTCCTTGCTTTTGCTTCTCATGTTCACCTCTAGCTTTGTGAAACTAATAAAAGCCCTCGGTATATGTTACTGTACATGAGTCTGAAGTGCATCTGTCTCCACCCATCCTAAACACCTCCTCGTATCACCTTCACATTTATCCCATAGATTTTGCAGTACTCCATTCAAATAACTTAAGCAGTTGTGAGAAATAAGGACCAAAATATATACTTCATGTCTCTGCATATGACTACTAGCAGATGAAGTAAATGATTTATGGGCTATTTTATCCCACAAAAGTTGCAAGTCACAACTTGTTCTCTTTCATGACCAATATTACTTTGTTGTTGTCTTGAACACCTGCAGGGTCGAGCCTTTTCAGGTTTGAAAAGTAACCACTTCATGTGAGGTGGTGACTGCAGTCTGCTCTGCATTACAGCAGGGATGTTCGTGACTGATGCACAGGTTATCAGAGGTCAGTGCGAGTCAGCAGCAGAAGGACAGACTGCACATTGGAACTGAAATAACCCAGTGTGCAGGTGTCTTATCCTCCTGAGATCCAGAAATAAGGCTTTGCCTTTGAGATTTGACAATATATGCTGTCTGAGTCCTCTATAGTGAAAATGCTTTGAATGTTTCTAATGAATACATTTTGATTACAAATCAAGTTATCAAGCAAAGACAATTTTCATAATTTAGTGAATTTTAATAAAAAGAGCATTTGGTATCTATCTAGATAGATAGATACCAAATACTCTTTTTATTAAAATGTAAAAGTATTTGGCATCTATCTATCTATCTATCTATCTATCTATCTATCTATCTCCACAATTCATTTCCACATTCTTTTCATTTCCAGGTTTGAATTAAAACCGAGTTTGCATCTCAGATTTTAAATGTTTATTTGTTCAACTATTAATTATTAACTCTTTATTTTTGAATTTACAGTACTGGTCAAAAGTTTGGAATAATTAGTACAGAATAATAAGTTTGGAAAAGGTTTTTTTTTATAAAAAAGTCTATTTAAGTCATTTATTTGATCAAAAATACAGTAAAAACATTAATGTTGTGAAATGTTGTTACAATTTAGAATAACTGTTTATTATTTGAATATATATTTAAAATGTAATAGCAATTGAACTTTTAGCAGCAATTACTGCAGTTTTCAGTGTTTTCAGAAAATATTCTGATAACTTTTGACCGGTAGTGTACATTACCTTTGCCATCTTCTAACACTCACTAAATGGTAATCTTCAAAAACACAATTACCGGTAGTGTAAATTATATCTTTCGCAAATCTTAAAATTATCAATTTTTCATTTTGTACTTGATAATGTTGTGATGCCTAAATTCACTTGTAGTGTTAAAACAATTAATTTTTTAGTGTTTTACTTATTTATTTAGTTTTAATTATCAGTTTTCAGCCATAACATCAATCAATTATCGGCTTATCAGTATCAGCTAGAATTTGAAAATCTCTAATTATATCATATATTAACAAAGAACATACAAAATAGTTTCTAGATTTCAGGAGGTCATTCAGACTGGCAGCAATCATGTCTCAAAGCCATCATGATTCTTTGAAGCAGAGGATGTCATATGGACAGGAACGTCTTTCTCATTAACAAACAGTTAGCCATAAAAAGCATCTATATTCTCCATATTCACCTTCGCTTGTACTCATCCCGCTCCCTTTTGATTTTGGCCAGGACGTTGTAAAGTGCTCTGATCTCTGGGGTGATGGTGTCTATCTGGACACCCACACCGTCCGGGTGGACCCACGACACTCCGGGACTGGTGACCCGAGTCTCTGACCCACTTCCCAGTTTACGGGTGTGATTGTAGGACCAGATAGTGCCCGGGAGGAAGCGAGGGGGAGGTTTGGGAGATGTCCCGGTGCCAACGCTGCTCACATGCGGAGCATTGTTGGAGTTATTGGTGTTGGTGTTGGCCGAGGCGGGTTCGGTGGTGGGTGTTGAGAGACTAACCATAATGGTTGGGTTCCTATTGGTGTTTGGGTCAGTTGTGGTCTCATCGTCAGCTTTATTGGGCTCAAGCTTGAGGACAGACGTAAGAGAAGGCATAAACAATGTAGTGGGTCGTTTAGCAGAGTTGTTGGTGTTTTGGAAGGACAAAGACCCAGGCCGGACAGCAATAGGCCCAATAAACCCAGTCTGCACACCAATTTCTTTGGTCTTTCCGTCCTCCACACCTCCACTTGTGTTATTGCAGTCTAAAGCCTGCTGTAGCTGTAACTCCAATATCTTATTGCGTCTCTCCAGTTCATGCACTTTAGCCAGAAAGCATCGGAACCGCAGATTGAGGGTCTTCAGGACGCTTATATTGGATCCCAGGTCGTTCCTCAATGCCATGGCTGTAGGTGGAGGAGGTTGGGACCAGTGGAAAGATGGACTGAAGTGCAGATAAGAGGATCCCGTGAGGCCGGGTTGTTCTCCGAGGAAAAACGAGGATGGGTCAGGAGCTCCTAGGACAGCAGCCTCAGGGAGTAAACCGGAGGGAGAATCGGGATGACCGGGTCCTTCTGGATTTTGCTGCTGATGATGAGGATGGAGAGGAGAATGCATGCTACGGCACGGAAAACTGAAGCGCTGCAGATCGGGCATGAACCCAGCTATGCCTGACTTTTAAAATAGTTAACGGCTTGATTTCAAATGTCAGTGGTGTTTAGCGACCCAGTGACACGGCGATGTCCACATTTAACTCGTTAAAGCCTTATGTAACGAGTTAAGACTAGGCTATTACAGCTTGCGTGCAAATGCTGAGTAAGGATGGGTAGACGCTGATGGAGATGAAGCGGCTCTCACTGCAGCAACCGATAAACGCGCAAAATATAGACTAATTATAAAAGCATGCAAAATTATTCAAACAAGCAAAGAATATTATAACAACTAACGCCAGCGAAATACGTTTAAAATAGGTCCAAACGAATGTCTTGTGGCTTCCCCGCCTGGAAAGCTGAATACACTTGAGCGCTCGAGTCTCTCTGCAGCGCTTCAGTGCGGACACTACCGTAATATCAGTCCGTTTACTGGAATATTCCAGAGCCGCAAAATAATATTTGGTAGATGACTTTGCGCAGAATTATCTTTATATGTAATCAATCGCTGTTCGAAGGCGAATAACAGCTCTCCGTGTGCTTTTCCCCTTGTGTGTTTGTCTAAGAGTGGTTAATACGGTAAAAAGATATTACCTCATGGATCACGATAACAAAGCAACTCTGACGTCATAGATCTGCAACAAACAGCCTAGCCCTTGTACTTATTGGGTCTTATAGGGCTTCTGATTTTAATTTATATCTACTTGGAAACTACTAAATAAACATCAAAGTCTTTTCGTTATTGTAAACTTTATTAACATTTCACATTCATTCAGAAATAGTCATTTAAAATACTTTGGACTGGATAGTGCACTCATAAATACAATAAGTAGATCAATAAATTGTTTAGATGCACAAGAGATTAATAAATAAATAAATACACAGGATCAAGTCATAAACATACAAAGGACAAAATCAATATGAAAACAAGAGCCTCGTGTCAAAGTACCAGTGTGAGACTTGATAGGTGCAAAATAGTGTGTAAAATCACACACTGGATGACACTAATGGAAACAAAGAAACACTGCTTATTAACTAAAACAACAGATATTTTGAGCTAACTAACTGCATTATGAACTTTGCTGATGCTGTCACTCCTCACCTGTCAACAAGCTGTTAGAGGTGGGTTCTCTAAATTCTTTTTTCAGCTCTCTTTCCACCTCCTTCCCTCTCTCTCTTTCTAAGTTGGTCTGCGTATCTAAGGTTGTAGTATCCAAGGTTGCCCACCCGACTGCTGCACTGTCCTGACCGGACCCTCTCTGACCTCTACTCCCTCTACTCTTCCGTGAGGAATCTTTTTTCACACGGTCCCCAGACGTCTGACTGGTAGGTGTGCTTCTTCTTCTCCAGCTGTGAATATAAGAGAGAGTGATGCTTCCACGATATCCTGGATGTGTGGAAAATAAAAAGACAGAAACAGAAATTTGAAGAAATGTAGACAGAGAAATAAAATTAACGAAAATATATAAGTATAGACCAGGGGTCAACAAACTCGGTGACCGGAAGTTTCTAGTATGCCCAATAAGACATGATTCGCTGGTTCAGGTGTGTTTAATTATGGTTGGAGCTAAACTCTGGTATAGACCCCCTGGTATGATAGATAGATAGATAGATAGATAGATAGATAGATGGATAGATGGATAGATGGATAGATCCTGACCATCAGAATCACTGCCGTCTGTGCTCCTTGTTCTCCTCCTCTCTCCATCTTTTCCTCTCAAGCACAGGAGATCATAGACGTCCTCCCTGAAGTCACGGTTCATGATCTGGTAGATAAAGGGGTTTATCATGCAGTGGGACTTGGCAAAAATAGCGGGGACGAGTGAGACCTCTGGCTTCAGGATGGACACAAGATGTGACTGATGTCCATTCATTCCTCCATGTGCAGAACCCACAGTTGAACTTGATCCATGATCCCCTACTGAATGATGGGAATGATCTGAAGTCATATTCCTCCAGGTGCCAAAAGCATCCCCGAAGTGTTCTGAAGAGGTCCAGTTAATGAGGAAGGGAAAACCAAAGACGTCAGACAACCCTCCGCCATGGCCGACCCCTGTTGCTGGCATTCCAGCCGTGAGAGCGGTT